TCTCTAAAAGGTAAAGACTCTTTGTTAAACAAAACCACAATACCACTGAACACACCTAAAATTGAATACTTCCTTCATATCTTCAAATAGTCCAGTTTAGATCTTGATTGTCTCGTATTTTTAAAACTTAAAGTTTTTTATTTTATTACTTAATTCTTTGCTTTGAAATAATTTAAACGTAACAGGAAAATTTGTGAAATTAGTACAAGGAAATCCCTGTACCCTTTACCCAGACTGCCCAAATGTCAGCATCACAGCTCAGCAAAATTACCAAGATGAGGCGCTGCGTGGATACGGTGCCATATTCTGAACTGTGACCTTCAGAGGGTTCCTACTCGTGCCTCTTCCCTGCCCCAGGATCCAGCCTCTGCAGCTCAGGGCCCTTCAGTCTGTGACAGCCCCTCAGTCCTTTGTCTCTCGTGGCTGTGACACTTTCCATTGTTTTGTCCAATGTCCCTAAGGGTTTGATATGTTTTTTAAGCAACCATATAGTTTCTCATCCAAATGAAAACACTTGGGAATTGGGGCTCAACTCCTAACTGCACCTGGTCGGCTCGTGTAAACCAGGTCAGCGATGCCCCAGTACTTATATCACTCTGCTCAAGGCGCTCCATTTTTAAATTGAGATACAGTTGACATGTTATTATTAGTTACAGGTGTGCAATATAATGATTCAATATCTGCATATATGGCAAAATGATCACAGTAAATCTAGTTAACGTCCGTCACCACACAGTTATACATCTTTTGTGCATGATGAGAAATTTTAAGATGTACTCTCTTAGCAACTCTCGAATGTGCTACATTGTTTTTTTATGTCTTTATTGGAGTATAATTGCTTCACAATGCTGTGTCAGTTTCTGCTGTATAACAAAGTGAATCAGCCATATGCATACACATGTCCCCGTATCCCCTCCCTCTTGCGCCTCCCTCCCACCCTCCCTATCCCACCCCTCTAGGGGGTCACAAAGCACCGAGCTGACCTCCCTGTGCTGTGCGGCTGCTTCCCACTAGCTCTCTATTTTACGTTTGGTAGTGTATATATGTCCATGCCACTCTCTCACTTCGTCCCAGCTTACCCTTCCCCCTCCCCATGTCCTCAAGTCCATTCTCTACGTCTGCGTCTTTATTCCTGTCCTGCCCCTAGGTTCTTCAGAACCTTCTTTTTTTTTAAGATTCCATATCTATGGGTTAGCATATGGTATTTGTTTTTCTCTTTCTGACTGACTTCACTCTGTCTGTGATAATAATGCATTGATCATACATCTTTTCAGGTTAGTGTTTTTGTTTCCTTGGATAAATACCCAGCAGTGGAACTGCTATATTATTTATTAGTTCTTAATTTTTCTGAGGATTCTCCACATTATTTTCCAGTGTCTGCACCAACTTACATTCCCACCGACAGTTACAAGGGTTTCCTTTTTCTCCTCATCTTCACCAACACTTATTTCTTGTCTTTTCTTTTGCGGGGGGGAGCGTGTTGTGTCTTCGTTGCTGCACACGGACTTTCTCTAGTTGCAGAGAGCAGGGGCTACTCTTCATTGTGGTACACAGGCCTCTCGTTGCAGAGCACGGGCTCCAGGTGTGTGGGTTTCAGCAGTTGTGGCTCATGGGCATTGTTGCTCCGCAGCATGTGGGATCTTCCCGGGCCAGGGCTCGAACCTGTGTCCCCTACAGTGGCAGGTGGATTCTTAACCACTGCGCCACCAGGGAAGTCCTCTTGTCTTTTTGATAATAGCCATCCTGACACACGTGAGTTGCTTTTGATGTGCGTTTCTCTAATAACGAGCGATGTTTGAGCATCTTTTCATGTGCCTATTGGACATCTATACGGCTTCTTTGGAAAAATGTCTATTCAGATCTTGAGCCCAGTTTTGAATCAGATTGTTCTTTTGCTATTGAGTTATATGAGTTCTTTGTATTTTGGATATTAACCCCTTATCAGATATATGCTTTGCAAATACTTTCTGCCATTCAGTGGGTTGCCTTTTCATTTTGTTGATGATTTCTCAAGGCTCTTTTAATATTTAGGTTCCCCTGCCTCTTTTTTCCCTCTTGGAATGAAACCTCTGTTGAGTTTCTTTTATTTGGTATCTCTCTATACACTTATGTGAATGATCTTAACTACTATTCATATGCTAATAATTTAAAAATCTCCATCTCCAGCCAAGATCTCTCTTGGGCTCCAGACTGGCTTCCACTCTGTAGTCTGAGGGATCTAAAATTCCGTCTGATGGGGTCACTTCTCTCTTTAACATCCTTCCTGTTGCCTTCAGGGTCAGATCCAAATTCCTGTTAGGAACTGGAGGCCCCCCCAGATGGCTCCCGCCCCAGCTCTTGGTTCTTCTGTGCCGCGGCTCCTATAACTGACGTGGTCCCTCACATCTAGGCTTTGACCTCTGCCCTAAATGCCCTTTCTCCTCTTTCGTCTGGATGAATCCACCCAGGTTCCACTTTACCAGGAAGCCTCCTCTGCTGTGATGGCCGGGTTTAACTCTGTTTCTTTGTATATTTATCCCGAGAGGGTGAGTCCTTGGATGGTAGATTATTATAGTATTTCATCTATATTCCTACTGCCTGAAACGCCACTGGCACTTAGGTGTTGGTTGAATAAATGTTGAATGTGACTGCAGACATTATAAATTCCTTTTCCTTCAATGTAAGTTAGGGTCTAATCTTGATCTCAGGGTCTGGAGGACAGGAAGCTGAGGAGTCCAGACTCACCACCACCCTCTTACCATCTACTGAACTCTTCCTCTATGTGGGCGCTGTGGTGTGCTTGTTAGAGCATGAGAGTGAGTCCAGATACCGTCCTTACCCTTCCCTCCCAGGGGAAGACGTGGAAAATGTGCAGTTCTGTCTGAGAGGCCCAAGGTGTTATGAGGATATGGGGAAAGAAGAGGTTAAATCTAAGGAAATCTGAAAACTTAATGACTTGCACTGGACCTTAAAACATGGCAAGTCTTCGCTGAGTTGAGGTTTGGGGGAGTTCATCTTGAGCCAAAGCTTAGCCGTGGCCCCTGCCAGGCGTCCCGCTCTGGGGGCGGGTGTCGGGCACGCGGACGGCTGGGAAGGTATGTGTGTGAGGGGCAGGTCGTGGAGGCCTCTGAAGGCGAAGCCGAGGAGCTGGGATTTTTCCTGCCGTGACCGCCCCTGCCCGACAGGGGATGTGGGGGGCCTGTGCCCCTGGAGGGGATGGGAATGAGGCATTATGTGGGTGGAAAAGCTGGAAAAGTAAAGTTCTTACAAAGGCAGCACTGAGGGAAAAGCGATGAGACGCTTATAAAAGATATTTTCAACTCTTTGTGGGCATGTGGGCCGGATGGGGTTGCTGTGGGTCTCCGTGTCCCGGGGGCAGGCAGGTGCCTTCGCAGGCCGGCCCCGCTGCCCTCCTCCTGCTGGCGCACAGATTTCCAGGGCCCCTCCTTGCACAGCAGTGAGAAGGGAGTCGGAGCCAGGCCTCCCTGCCCCCGCACCCGTTGCTGTCCTCCTGGTCACCCCGACTTCTCCCCTGACCTCATCCCCACATCCACATGGTGGCCAAGGACTCAGAAATGTCCCTCTGGGCTCTGGGATGCTCAGGGGCAGGGCGGCGTGGTCCCTGGGTTTAAGCACCACCCTCCGTCTTGTCTGGTCGCATCCTGAGGCCCGCCCCTCCCCTCCCCACCAGCCCCCTCTCTCCCTCAGGCCACAGGCCTGACCCCGCCTTAGTTCTTTCCTGCTGTGTGTAAGTGGCACGTAGTTGGTGTCAAGTGGATTTGTTGTTGCGTGAAGAAACCATTTCTGAGGCTGTCCACAGGCCATGGGCAGTTGGCCTGGTTGACGCGGCCTCCAGTCCCCCACGCTTGACAGCTGGTCAGGTTCTGCCTCCCGGCCCAGTTTGCCCAGTTCACCCATCACGTGCCTTCCCCCCTCTGCGCTTTCGTTAAATGGCTGTCAGAAGGTCCTTCTCATCTGGAAACTTCTCAGCTTGGCTGGTGCCCTGCAGTCCTGCACAGTGAGGGCCGAGGGACCCTGGTCCACAGAAGTTGCGGGTGAGGGACAAGCAGCTTCTGGAAGCCTGGCCACGCCCTCTGTGCGGAGCCCCCAGTCCCAGGGGTGGGCACGCTTGGGCACATCTTGCTTGGTTCGTTTCCTTCCTAGGCCCCCCTCGGGCCAGCACTTGGGGGGCCTTCCCAGGCGTGGTGCGTGGTGGATGTATGGATGTGTGTGTCCCTTGAGAGGTCAGGTCATGGCTGTGACTCCTGAGACTTCAGGGTCACAAGGACCCAGCTCCAAAAGTAGGAGGGCAAATGAATGGAAATGAGAGTTTGGGGTCCTGGAGGTCCCATGAGGTGGGGCAAGTGTCCCCATACAAGGGGACGTTAGGGAGGAGTCCTGGGTTCCATCAGTGACCTCCTGGTTTTGGGAAGGTGAGGGTAGGGTCCAGCTAGCAAGCAGCCACAGGCTCGTCCTGGGTGCCGACACTTGGATCTTGGCATCTGACCAGAAAGTAGGGAGACCTGGAGGAACACGGAAGTGGTCCAGTTTAAGGCATCCTTCACTTCCTGCCTGTCCTGGGCAGCCAGTCCTTCCTGCCCGCCCCCCGCCCCCCACCCCCTGGTGTGACTCAGCCCCTTTCCCACACGCGGGAGGGCACATGGACACTGATGGACAGTGGGATGCAGGGTTTCCTGGACAGGTGGGTGTCTGGCAGCTGCCTCTGCTTGAGGCTGTGTCAGCGGCGGGGAGGCCAGGGTCGGCCCGGCCTCGGCCTGGGCCTGGGCCAGGGCACGTGGGGTGGTGAGGGCCCAGAGTAGGGTGGCTGGGGGCATCTCATTGAGCACGCGCACTGGTGCAGAGTCTGAAAGCGTTTTCAGGGAATGTGGTGGCCATAAACTGTCTCCACTTTAAATACAGTGAAGGCCAGTGGGTGCTCGGCTTCAGCCCCTCGCTTCATCAGTGACCCCAGTGCCACCGGCCCAGGAGCCAAGCCCTCAGGGCCCGTCCTCTCCCCGCAGGATCTCCTACGACCCCGGCCGCTTCCCCAGGTACCTGCCCGAGGCCTACTGCCTGTGCCGGGGCTGCCTGACCGGGCCGCACGGGGAGGAGGATGTGCGGCTGCGCAGCGCCCCGGTGCTTGTGCCCGCAGTGGTCCTGCGCCGGACCCCAGCCTGCGCGGGCGGCCGCGCCGTCTATACCGAGGAGTACGTCACCATCCCCGTGGGCTGCACTTGCGTGCCCGCGCCGGACAAGGATGCAGATGGCGCCAACTCCAGCCTGGACAAGCCGGCCCGGCCCTGAGCACCCATCCCCAATCCGGGGACCCCGAGGCCCCAAGGAAACTCAGACGGAGCACCCAGTGCTGGACTGGACTGCACTGCGTGCAAGCCTGACCTCCTGCATCCCGCAGGCTTCCTCTTGGGCAGGAGCGCAGGGCGGTGAAAGGTGACGGGAGCTAACCACGTGGCAGCCCTGTGTGGGTGGCCCAAGGCTGGGGCCACCACAGGTGACCCGCTTCGCCAGAGATCGTTGAGGCTCCTTAAGGCTCCCGGCCACCGGCCCCTTGCAACCACGGGTGGTAGCACTGCAAGGACCGCTGGGAGTGGAGAGAGCCTCGAGGACAGACAGACACTTACCACCTTTTTTTTAAAAAAGTAGAATATATACCTTCTTGTTTATTCAGCTATTTTCAGTAGAGGCAGAAACTTTTTATATTAGCCATTTTGAGCAAGTACCTGACATGTAAACATTTTATAAACATTGTTTTCACTTCCTCGGCAGGAGTTTTTAGAAGCACACCCTGTAGCCCGCCTTGTGGCCTGGGTCCCTGAACCCCGCCTGGTGCTGACAGTCACCAGTGGACACGGCTGCCTAGGACCTGCCCTCCCTCTGGGAGGCTCAGCTCACCCCAGAATCTCCCACTTGTAAGGTTTTTCTCACTTGCAGACTCACAATCCCAGAAGCCAGGAGCAGGTCCTCTTCTACGACCACAATGTGAGCTAGACCTTCACCCTTTTCTCTAGGCTTAAGTCTGTCCCTGAACACAATTACAAGTAAAGTTCTTTAACCCGCTTTAAAATCCTTAAAACACTGTAGGTGGAGGGCATGCTGGCTGTGCATTTCTCTGTGGGCTCCACTAATTTTCAGAGGAAACAGTGGTAATTAAGGTCTATCACTGAATCTTAATGTTCAGGAAGATGATCTGCAGAGTCGGTCGGCCTCGTTTATATGCTCTTGTCCCTACTTACAATCAGTCTTGGTTTGATCTGGACAGAAGGTCAACCGAGAGAACTTTCAATCTGTACCAAATATTGACAGAGGTTGTGCGTGAAAAACACTGCTGAGCAAAATTCCAAATAAAAAATTCAAAATTGAAATTGATAGCTGTGGGTAGTTCTGTATACCATTTGGGGAATTTTACTTCTGTGCTCAACCTCTGGGGGAAAAAAAAAAGTAAGCCTAGTGGTGGTATAGCTAGCATACATTCTTGTCCAGAAAACAGAAGGTTCATCAGATCAACGTCAACAAAGAAATCCACGAATTAAAAAGAAAAACTGCCTTTCAAACCTTGGGTAATTATTTCGAGCACTGCCACTGTTGTGTAACATTTTCTAGCCACTCCTCAAACATAAAGACATCAGAGGAGTGAACTGAAGGAGGGTACGGTTTGCACGGGGATAAACTGCTCTTCCATAAGCTATTAAGCATCAGTTTAACTAACGCTAGCTGTTAATAGGTAACGCATTTCCAACGGAAGAATCAGCTTTCCCTTCCAAGATCTAGAAAAGGCAAAACCTGTATTTGCATTTTTTCTCTGACTGGAACACTCAACAAGTATTTACTGAGCACGTGCCCTCTTCTGGGCACTGAGCTCCTGGAAGGCGATTGCGAACTGGACACAACACTCGTCCTCAGCTACAACTCCAAACCGCATGGCTGGCAAAGCACACGCAGGTGTCCACAGCCACCCGTAGTACACAGGATGCGCCCGAGGCCGAGGCCAAGGTCCTGGCCAATCACTAAGCCGCCTGTACTTCTGCGCTTTGCCTGCGTTGAGGAGAGTAGACTAGACGGCTTCTATGACTTCTTCCAAATATTCCAAATATAATTCCACTGATTCGAGTTGGCAAAAGCATCCCAAGCTCTAGGGATGGCCTCACTAAAGAAATCACAAGATGTTGTCGTCTTCATCTCGAAAGTTAGGCCAGGGAGAGCCCTAGTTTGTGAGGGAGGAGGGGAGGTCATAGCTTTTCAATCTACTAAGAAAATAAAAAGAGGGAAATGTCACATGGGTCCTTCACTACATTGTATTACCAGCTGCATTCACAGTTCACGGTCCAGCCCAGAATCATAATTCACGTAACAGCGAAATTCATTTCCCAAGGTTCGAGTGTGTTTTGGAATAAACTTGCACATCTTCACTCCAAGAAGTTTTGCTGCCTCTTCCTCCATGACGGCACCTGAGGAGAACCACCAGATGAACCCGGAGACTGAGGCACCAACCACGTCTCAGCTCCACACCCACCAGGCAGGCCAGGGAGGTATTCTTGACCAGATGCGGGAAGCGGTGAGTTGACGGTACCACTCAGCGATAAGGGGGAAGGTCAGTGCTCTATATTCCTTTTTTACTTCCTCCAACATTTAGGCAAATTACCTACGTTTTTCCTTTTCTTTTTCATTTAATAATTTTCCTACATCTGCAAGGCTGAGATACTTAAGAAAATAATTATATTCCACAAAGTAACATAAGGAAAGCAAAAATAATTAGTACAACCCCTTTTTCAATAGTAGCGAATCGTGCAAACTTGTACCAATACATTCACACCAGCCTCTGGCTGACAAATCCCATTCCTCCCTCCAGCCCTGTCCTCCGCACCCACTGCACTGGGGGGAAGTGCGGCCCACACAGCAGGCCTGGATGCCAAGCTGCCCGGAAGTAGGGAGACCAGCAGTTAACGTTTTCATTCTCAGTCAAATGCCAGTATATCCACCTTAAGAAAATATATCCACATCACCAGTGCAAAAGTCTCCTTCTCAGCTTTGGTAAACCTAATCTAATGTCTAGCTCTGTAACCTTTGGCATCCACTTTAACCCCCGAGATTCCAAATTTCTTTTATCAATTTGTACAGGCTGAGTCAGTGTTACTATTACTGACGTTGATGAGTACAAGAAACACTCCTGGTGCACTTGCCCAGTGCCGGAGCCCGCTTCCCAGGCATCATGCCACTTAATTCTCCCCAACCCTGAGAGGCAGGTAGCATCTCAGCCCCACTGTACAGATAAGGCAACTGGGGCACAGAGAGGGGGAAGAACCTTGTTTAAAGTCATGGGATGTGTGTTGCCAATCTGGCACCTACCTGTGCACAGCAGAATCTTGCCCTGGGTCAGGTACTTGATGGTTTCTGACGTTTTTCTGAGACATTCCTCAGAGAGATAGGGGGGATCTGCTATTACAACGTCAAAACTGTGTGCAGCAATTTTCTCAGGTAAATCCACTGGGTTACTGTAATCATAGAAGATAAACTCCTCTCCGTATATGGCAAACCTGTGGTCATATTCGAAGATGCAGATAGAAAAGTCGTCTCTGTGCAGCGCTCTCAGCTTCTGGTAAACGCTGGGGGCACTCACACATGCAATTCTGGAACAAAAGGAGCCAACTCATGGCTGAGCTTTATGACAGCACATGGCATGAAATAACCACTTCACTGAAAAACCACAGTCCCTGTGTTCAGATTTTCTTAAAGGAAACAATAATGCAAACTGAGTAACAGCAGTACATTTTGAAAGAAAACTCACTTTTAAGGAATCTACTGTTTACAAATCTACAACTCATAATTTTAAAGTATGAAAGGATAAATGTGCTTTTCATGGTTAAAAAAAAAAAAAAAGTAAAACTTATTAGGACAAGGGTTATGAAGCCTATGGCCTGAATTTACTTAGTATTTTCATGGTGGTCTCTTAACATTTATTTCAAATACTTTTTAGCCTCAAACTAAATATTTTGAAGTTACTTTGTAATATAATCTTGGAGGAAAAACTCCAAATAACTTCCTAAACAACTTTAGTTTTCCAAAAAAGTACATTAAAACTAGGTCTCAGTGCAGACAGACTACTTTGAATTTCTGCTGCTTTTTTGTATAAGTAAATTAAAGAATCTGTCTCATTACAAGCATCTCCAGTTATGAATGGGTCGTGTTCCAGTAGTTAACTTTTAAAGCCAACTGCCAAAAATGCTAGAAGTACCTTAAATGTTGAATTACTCAGTTGACTGTTACAGTGGAATACTGTGTTGTCATTACTCTCCAAGACAGTCAAGTTCAGGAGAGTGTAAACTGTGCTTTCACGGAGAGGGGTTTATGCTCACCTCTTGGAGATACACAGCTTGTCTGCAGACAATGGGAAAGCGACTTTTTGTCTCCATCCCCTTTGTCACTTTTAGATTTTTATTATATACACACACACGCAGAGAATCATTCAGAAAACTACTTATTTAGAAAATTAAACTCAGCTTTAAAACTGTGAGATGCATTTCTTAAGAAGTCTGGGGGCATCCCGACCGCCTTCTGTGGGGACCAGACCCCAGCCCGGCTGCTGCCAGAGCTCTGGGCCGGAGGGTGCAGAGGACTTGAACCACAGCAGCACCGGTACTTCCGGTGGGAGGACAGTGGTCTGAGGTGGAGGAAGGCACGAGAGCAGGGTGTGGCGACAGTGGCAGGGGAAGCGGACGGCCTGCTGCTCACAGCTGGGGCCCTTGTGCGAGTGATGTGACCGCGTGGGCCTCAGCATCCGTCTTTAGGATGGAGAGTGTAACAGGAACTACCTCCAGAGGTGTAGATGACCCTCAGAAAGCACTTACCCAGGAGACAGGACACACAGTAAGTACTCAATAAATGCTACTCTTACTACTCATCTTTAAAGTTAAGACATAACTCCTAAAATACTGAAGATGCCTTTTAGAAAAAATACGTTGCTTCCAAAGCCCTCATATGTAAAAATAAGAAAATACACGTAAAAACATGTCATTAAGAAAAACGTAATAAACTACATATAATTTTAAAAGAAAAAGGACAGATAAAAGAAAACCTTTGGACTTCCAGTTTAAACTTCCAGCTGAAGATGGCAGAGGGAACACATTCATTTAGCCAAGTCCCAAACTGGCAGCCAGGAAAGCTGAGAAGGAACCTGGCTGACAGCACAGTACCCGTGGCTCAGGAAGCTGCACAACCAGGTAACTCAAGAAGCGGGGGTGACGGTGGGGCAACAAACAGGAGAACTGTTTGAAAGGTCTATTCGAGAGGAAATGCACCCCCAGGATTCTCTTCCCTATCCCAAGCCTCCACAACTGTGGTAGGAAACTGGAGGGATGTTCTCTGGATTGGGGGGGGGGGCTTGAAGGGTGGGTGCCAGGCACAGCTAGTGGTGATGGAAATGGCAAAGATCACATTAAACCCTGGGGCTCTAACCAGCCCACAAGGAAAGGCCTGGACATGCTGACCCTGGGTGTTGATGGGGAAACAGCCATCTGCAGACACCCAAGTAGAGAAGTCCCGCCCAGGTATCAGAACCTCCAGCCCTAGAGCGTCTCACCCTTAAATATGGACGGACAGCAGGGGGCCAGCAGACATTCAGGGAAAGCATCTAATACCAGAGGCCAAAATAAACAGAAGATGCATGTGTGCGGTTCGTTAGAGAGGCTGTGTAGGGAGCTTAACTCTTTTTAAAAAAATCCTATAATATCCTCAGAAGGATGAACAAGATACAATAATAAATATTCAGAGACCCAAAAAAGAACTATGGTATAGATAAAGTTGAGGAATTTTCCCAGAAGGTAAAAGGTCAACAGATGGAAAAAGGACAGAAAAACAAGTAGATAGGTCCAACATTCAAATAATAGGCATTCCAGAAAGAGGAATCGAAAAAAAAGTGGGAAGGAAATCAAATAATTTAGGACTATTTTCCCAAACTGAAGGACCTGAGTTAATGAGAATGGAAGGGCTTTCACCCAGTACAACAGATAGAAGCTCCACACAGTAAAAACCAATCGAATACTGGGGATCAAGAGAAAATCCTAAGCTAGCAGTAGGCAGGGATGGGAAAAAACAGGTTTCCCACAAGAAATCAGAATGGCATTGTATTTTCCAATAGCACTACCGAAACGTGCAATGAAGCAATGCCCTCAAAACCTGGAATTCGACACCCAACAAAACTAACATATGAAGAGAATGGGTAGAATAAAAACATTTTCAGACATGAAAGGTTTTAAGAATTTCCCTCCCATGGAAACTATTGAAGGATATACCCAACCAGGATAAAGCTGTAAACTAAGAACTGGGGTACTGGACAGAGGAAGTCTGGAACAAGAGAGAGGTAAAAGGACACCTCAGCATGATGGTGAAGGAAATACCAAGAACCAAGACCAGAGCTGCAGCAAAACCAGAAATCAACCAGTCCAGATGGAACAGGTTGCAAAGCCCTGGAAGTCATTTTTTTCAAGGAGCTGAAAAATATGTTTGAATTTGTTGATAAGAGATTTACACCACTGGGGAGAATTTGAGAGTTAATCAATAATATGGACATAGAAATACTAAAAAAAAAAAATAAATTCTTTTCTTCAGGGAAGATGAAACATTGCACAGAAAAGGAAAAGACTCAGCTGTAAAGGACACCTATGTTGTCCTAACAACAAAATTAAGATATAACTAACACCAACTCTACACAATCACTTCCAGGAGACAGAAATACAGACAATACTTCCCAGCTCATTTTATGAAGCTACCATTAACCAATATGAAACCCAAACCAAGAGAATAAAAGAAAACTTCAAACCAATATCACTCATGAACGTAGAAGCAAAAATCCTCAGCAAAATATTTGCTAAGATGGGGCTTCCCTGGTGGCGCAGTGGCAGAGAGTCCGCCTGCCCATGCAGGGGACGTAGGTTCATGCCCCGGTCCGGGAAGATCCCACATGCCGCAGAGTGGCTGGGCCCGTGAGCCATGGCCGCTGAGCCTGCGCGTCCGGAGCCTGTGCTCGCAACGGGAGAGGCCACAACAGTGAGAGGCTCTCGCACCGCAAAAAAAAAAAAAAAAAAATTAGCAAAGAGTCCAGCCATTAAAAAAAAGAAGAAAAAAGGATATAACTCTATTGGGAGAGTGGACAGAAAGGAGACACGTATGTGGCAGTTGTGGCCTATGAAGGGAGCCAAATCCTCATTCTCTTAAGGGGAGAAGTCAAGAAATGATGTCTGCGAGGGACAAGTCAAGAAGTGCCAATATAAACGTTATTTAGAAATGTTTGTAAATACCAAGAGAATCAATGAAAGAGAGCAGAAAAGGCGAGGGGGTGGACAAGGGGAAAATTAACAATGGATTATTTTTTGAACAAGTCTTTTAGGACCATTTGACTTTATATGCGTGCAAAGTTTTGACAGAAGTAAAAACCAAATTAAAAAAGAAAATCTATTCTTAAAACTTCAAAAAGGTCAAGATTTTTTTCTTTTAAAGCAAACTCTAGGGGTATAAAAGTAACAGGTAGAAAATGTTAAAATAAGGAACAGAGATAAGATATCTTACACTGAATAGATTTCTGTGTGTGTCCCGACTCAACAGTGAGGCAGTTCTTACTTCCACATGTTCTGCGAATCACGAACTACAGGTTTTGCAGATTACAGTTCAGCCTTCTTACCAACCATGTCTCATCTAAGAAGGACATTTAAAATATTACTTTAGATTAAAAGGCAAAAGAGAAATGAAACTGATCTCACCTGCCACCTTCCCCAGCAGCTGCCACGGCTTCCTCTGCAAGGCGCAGGGCGGTCTCCGGAGTGTACCAAAACTGGCTCAGCTGCTATGACAGAGGAATGAGTGAAATCATTTTACAACTGGCGTAGAGTTTATCCTTTTAATTTATATCTACTATATCAATATATACTATATCAATTATCAGTGTTCACTGCTGGGCCAAGTAATATACTCTGATTGCATTTCCTTCTGGTATGGTACCTTGTTTTTCCTAGAGTTAATACATGATTGTTTCATTTGATTGGGTTCTTTGAACCTATCCCTAATTCTCCCAACATCCTGCAGCTTCTGAGAAGTGGTGCGTAGGAGGTAAATGTTGTGAGACTTACCATGTCTAAAACATTTTACTTTTATCCTCACACGTGACTGATAACTCAGCTGGGTGTAGAATTCTAGGCTGAACAAATTTAAATCTTGAAGGAACTGCTCCACTTTTTTCAAGTTTCTAGTAAAGCTACTGAGAAGTGCAATGTGACTTGTAGACCTGAGACTCTGTAGGTGACATGCTTTTCTCTGGAAGGTTCTAGGATCTTCTTTGTCACCTATATCCAGAATTTTCAGTCATGATAATCATGTGTCTTAGGGTCTTTGGTTCAGGGAAATTTTCTAATATCATTCTTTGAAGGTTTCCTCCCCTCTTTGTTTTCAGTTCTATTTTTCTGGAACTCCAGTTAGTTGAATATTGAGCTTCCTGGATTTATCCTCTAGTTTTATGTTTTCTTTCTATAATTTGTATCGTTGTCTTTCCCCCCACCCCCAACTTCCTGGGAGATCTCCTTAATTTTATAAACAAAACAAACCAAAAGGAAGTGTCAAAAATATACAAATAGTTAATTCAGGTAGTGGAGTTATTACTTTTGTTTTTTGTTCATGTTTTTATATATTTTTTACAACAACCATAGATTACTTTTAGAATCAGAAAAAAGTACATAGTATTTAAATTAGCAGAAGGAAAAGAGAAAAAGACCCCCTCAAGAATAATAACGTACTTCAAGTTTCTAATATTGACTATTCAAAGAATCAAGCTAAAGACAAAAGCACATAAAGAAGGGAAGCAGTGACAAAGAGGCATCTGAGTAAGTGGAACATTTAGAATAAATATAAAGAAACATTTTTGTCCCAGTCTCAAACAGATGGTAAACAGGAAAATTTTATATAACTTAAGAGATCTAAACTTGACACAAAATGTAAAAGTCTGCTTAAACACACACACACACCTCCTTCCGGCTGCAAAGTGATGAAGAGAGGGGCAGTCACAGAAATTTCAAGCCTCATCTATTTCTCAACTATCTCCTTCAAAAATGTAAATTTCTACATTCCAGGTTAGGTTAGTTTTTCTGAACTCACTTTTTTAAATTCCTACTTTTATTTAGACCATAAAAATACAATTAAAATACATACTGTGCCCCAGAAACTATTAATATCTTCTTAAAACTCAGTTTCATCTATTTTTTACTACATGTTTGTTTAAGTCCAGTTACCCCATTACTGCAATGATCAATTTTTTCCCTTTTCTCAAGGACTGCTGGGCTCCATAACAACCAACAGAATGCATCTGTATACAAGAAGGAAGCACCGTTTGTGTTGGATATAATGATATGCTGTTCTTCTATCTGAAATGTCCCCTCCTCTGATCATCAGGCAGCCTGAGAGTCAGAATTAGGAAAATCTGCATTTATACTGTCTTAAAATGTTCGTGGCCTGCTTTCTGTCTTACCTCCTGAACAGGTTATCAGCTTCGTAGTGACAAGTGAGATAAACTTGGGTATTAGGTCAGATACAGACAAACACTGGACTAGGTACAGAATAGTCTCCACACCAACACTTCCTGATGGGTGGGGAATGCATTAACTTACCCAGTTCTCTTCTATTATTCCAATGTTATACTTGTCATCGCCACCGAGGTCGGTGTACTGTTTCTGCTCAGCATAAAATTCCTGCAGAGCTGCAAGGGCATGGGAAGAGAGCTGGGGGAGGTCCTCATCTTCAGAGCTGCTCATTTCACACCTGCAGGGAAATGAGTATAAGTGATGTTTTTTCTTTTCCATCAAACAACAATTAAAAAAAATTTTATCTCACAGCAGGGATCCAAACTGAAAGTGAGTTGTATAAAGGAAACACACCTGTATGATTCCTTGTAGAGTGAACTCTTTACCATAAATACTATAAAGATGTATTGCTTTCTTCTGGTACCCCAATGGCCACATGCAGCTAATTCACAGTAGATTCTCTTAATAAGATATTTTTATGTGTGAATGTTCACTGTTTTTAGGTGATCTAAGGCTCCTGGGTGTCACTGACAGGATAAGTGAAGGATCATAAAGGAGGGGTATAGGAAGAGATATGAAAAATAAAAAGGATGAGAGAATGCAAATCATGATAATAATGAGACACCACTATATACATACCAGATTGACTAAAATTAAGAAGACTGATAATACCAAATGTTTTGGGGGATGTATGGAAATTGCCTATTCTGCTGTTGAAATGTAAACTGATGAAAACATTTTGGAAAACAATTTGACCTTACCCCTGCTTCAACTCAGTAATTCTGTATCTACATATACATATAGATCATATAACTATGTGAAACTCCTGTAATTCACATAAATAGACATGTAAAATACGTTCAAAGTAGAAATGTGTACTAACAGCTAAAATTACTGAAGTATCTACCCACTGGACATTGTAAAATATACTCTGCTGTATTCCTACAGTGGGAGCCTATATAGCAATGAAAACATTTTATATCAGTCTTTTCTCCTTTGTTGGCTTGCCTCCTACAGCTTTGTTATTTAAGTGGCTGCTTTAGGTTTACAGTATATATATCACAGCATACATTCAAATAACATATCACTTCTTGTATTACATAAAAATTTTATAATTGTATATAACTTCCATTTCTCTCCTCCAATCCTTTGTGTTACTGTTTGACCAACATCTTATTTTTACATTTGTTATAAACTCCACACCACACTGTTAAATTTAAAAACCTCATATATTTACCTACTCTGTAACCACTTACGGTGCACTTCATTTTGTTTTACAGATTAATATTTCCTTCTGCTTGAATGGCTTCTTTTAACATTTCCTGTAGCACAGTTCTACTGCTGATGCATCCTTTCAGCTTTTATGTCTAAAACTGTCTTTATATTGCCTTACTTTTTGAAAGATTTTATTTTTTGGAGTGATGGAATTCTAGGTTGAGTTTTTCTTCAGTACCCTAAAGAGATTCCTCCACTATTAGCTGCATTATTTCCAACATAAAATCTGCTGTCACCCTTAGTTTTCTTACTTTTTGTGTCTTCCTTCCCTGGTAGCTTTTAAGATTTTTCTCACTGTCACTGGTTTTGAGCATTTGGTTATGATGTGTCCCAGTGTAGTTTTCTTCATGTTTCTTGTGCTTTGAGTTTACTGAGCTTCTTGGATCTGTGGGTTTACAGTTTTCCTGAAATTTGAGAAGTTTTTGGCCACTATTTCTCAATTTTTTTTTTTTTTTTGCGGTACGCGGGCCTCTCACTGTTGTGGCCTCTCCCGCTGCGGAGCACAGGCTCTGGACGCGCAGGCTCAGCAGCCATGGCTCACGGGCCCAGCCGCTCCGCGGCATGTGGGATCTTCCCGGACTGGGGCACGAACCCGTGTCCCCTGCATCGGCAGGCGGACTCTCAACCACTGCGCCACCAGGGAAGCCCCAGTGTATTTTTATTTCAGATATTGTAGTTTTTATGACTAGAAGTTTGACTTGGTTCTCTTTTATTGGGTTGGCCAAAAAGTTCATTTGGGTTTTTCTGTAAGATGGCTCTAGTAGCACTTAGATGTCTTTACCTTCATTTGAAAGTTCTGTTAGATTGTGTTGTGACAGCTATCATATCAGCATGCATTTTTAAAAAACTTTCTCCTCACAATTAGGGCACCTACCAGGTGCTGGTGGGGGGCCTCAGACACCTAAGGGGATGGGAGGGACTCCCAAGTGACTGGGTAGGACGTGGGGGTGAGGGAGAGGGGAGAAGTGGAGGCAGGACAGGACCAGCACCCCTGGGGGTGGCTGGGGGAGGGGCCCACTCACAGTGAGGGGATCAACGGGGACAGGGAGAGACCCTTGGGGGATCAAGAGGATCAGAAGGGAACACAGCCAGCATTTCCCCTGCCCACTCGGGCCCCGGGGAGCCTGCTGAGGTCCCAGGCCTGATCCTCCGCACTCCGAGGCCCCCTCGAGGCATGCTGAGCCTAAGCCCTGCGCCTGCCCCGCCCACTCAGGGCCTTTTCTGGCTGCCAGGGTCCTGAGCCTAAGCCCCGCCCCCCCACAGCCAAGGCTTTTTTTTTTTTTTTTTTTTTTTTTTTTTGCTGTTGTGGTTGTTTTACCTTGTATTTATTTATTTATTTGTTAGTTTTGGCTATGCTGGGTCTTAGTTGCAGCACACGGGGTGTTTGTTTGCAGCATACAGGATCTTTAGTTGTGGCAATGTGGACTCTTAGTTGCAGCATGCAGAGATCAAACCCGGGAGTACAGTCTTACCCACTGGACCACCAGGGAAGTCCCTGTTTTACCTTGTTGTTGTTGTTTCACTTATATTTTTATTTTTTCTAATATATTTTTTATTTTTCTAATTTTATTTATTGTTATTGCTCAGCTCTTTTGTTTGTTTGTTTGCAAGATCTTGGTTCCCAGGCCGGGGTTTGGGCCTGAGCTCCTGTGGTGGGAGCACCGAGTCCAAACTGCTGGACTAACAGAGAACTCAGGCTCCAGGTAATATTAAGGGGAGTAAGGTCTCCCGGAGGTCCTCATCTTGGCACCAAGACCCAGCTCTACCCAACTGCCTGCAAACTCCACTGCTGGACGCCTCAGGCCAAAGAGCCAGTAAGACAGGAACACAGCCCCAACCATCAAAAAAAAAAAAAAAAAAGACGACAAAAAACATATGTTACAGGTGAAGGAGCAAGGTAAAAACCTACAAGACTAAATAAATGAAGATGAAATAGGCAACCTACCTGAAAAAGAATTCAGAGTAATGATAATAAAGATGATCCAAAACGTCAGAAATAAAATGAGGCACAGATTGAGAAAATACAAGAAATGTTTAACAAAGACCTAGAAGAACTAAAGAACAAACAGTGATGAACAACACAACTGAAATGAAAAATACACTAGAAGGAATCAACAGCAGAATAACTGAAGCAGAAGAACAATAAGTGAGCTGGAAGATAGAATGGTGGAAATAACTGCTGAGGAACAGAATAAAGAAAAAAGAATGAAAAGAATTGAGGACAGTCTCAGAGACCTCTGGGACAACATTACACACACGAACATTCAAATGACAGGGGTCCCAGAAGATGAAGAAAGAGAGAAAGGATCTGAGAAAATATTTGAAGAGATTTATAGTCGAAAACTTCCTTAACATGGGAAAGGAAATAGCCACCCAAGTCCAGGAAGCACAGAGTCTCATACAGGATAAACCCTAGGAGAAACACACCAAGACACATATTAATCAAACTAACAAAAATTAAATTCAAAGAAAAACTACTAAAAGCAGCAAGGGAAAAGCAACAAATAACATACAAGGGAATCTCTATAAGGTTATCAGCTGATTTTTTTCAGTAGAAACTGCAGGCCAGAAGAGAGTGGCAGGATGTATTTAAAATAATGAAAGGGAAAAACCTATAACCAAGATTACTTTACCCAGCGAGGATCTCATTCAGATTCAACAGAGAAATCAAAAGTTTTACAGACAAGCAAAAGCTAATAAGAGAATTCAGCACCACCAAACCACCTTTACAACAAATGCTAAAGGAACTTCTCTAGGCGGGAAACACAAGAGAAGAAAAAGACCCACAAAAAACACACCCAAAACAATTAAGAAAATGGTAACAGGAATATACATATTGATAATTACCTTGAATGTAAATGGATTAAATACTCCAACCAAAAGACACAGATTGGCTGAATGGATACAGAAAGAAGACCCATATATATGCTGTCTACAACAGACCCACTTCATACCTAGGGACACATACAGACTGAAAGTGAGGGGATAGAAAAAAGATAATTCCATGCAAATGGAAATCAAAAGAAAGCTGGAGTAGCAATACTCATATCAGATAAAATAGACTTTATAATAAAGACTGTGACAAGAGATAGGGGAGGACGCTACATTATGATCAAGGGTTCAATCCAAGATGTAACAATTTTAAGTATTTATACACACAGCATAGGCGCACCTCAATACATAAGGCAAATGCTAACATCCATAAAAGGGGAAATCAACAGTAACACAATAATAGTGGGGGATTTCAACACCCCACTTACACTAATGGACAGATCATCCAGACAGAAAATAAGGAGAAACAAGCTTTAAATGACACAACAGACCAGATAGATTTGATATTTATAGGACATTCCACCAGAAAGCGGCAGAATACACTTTCTTCTCAAGTGCACACGGAAAGACAACCCTCAAAATGGGAGAAAATGTTTGCAAATGAAGCAACAAAGGATTAATCTCCAAACTATACAAACAGCTCATGCAGCTCAATATCAAAAAAACAAACCACCCAATCAAAAACATGAGCAGAAGACCTAAATAGACATTTCTCCAGAGATGACATACAGATGGCCACGAGGCACATGAAAAGATGCTCAACATCACTAGAGAAATGCAAATCACAACTATAATGTGATATCACCTCACAATGGTCAGAATGGCCATCATAAAAAAGATCTACAAAGAATAAATGCTGGAGAGGGCGTGGAGAAAAGGGAACCCTCTTGCACTGTTGCTGGGAATGTAAACTGATACAGCCACTCTGAAGAACAGTATGGAGGTTCCTTACAAACTAAAAACAGAACTACCATATGACCCAGCAATCCCACTACTGGGCATATACCCTGAAAAAACCATAATTCAAAAAGACACATGCACCCCCAATGTTCATTGCAGCACTATTTACAACAGCCAGGACATGGAAACAACCGAAATGTCCATCGACATATGAATGGATAAAG